GTGCCAGTAATGCCGGGGTGAGATGGTATCTCATTGTGGTTTTAATTTGCATTTCTCGAATGGCTAGTGATCGCGAGCATTTCCTCATGTGTGTGTTGGCCACTTGAATGTCTTCTTTGGTGAAGTGTCTGTTCATTTCCTTTGCCCTGTCCCTGTGTTTACTGTTTATTTCCTTTGAGTCTGTTTTCTGTCCCTTGGTTACATTTCTTGTCCTATTTCCTTCTTGATGTCCCTGCTCATTATATTTCCAACTGCTGTTACCTCTCTACTATTCACCTGATTATGATATGAAATTACACTCCTGACTGTATCTGTTGTTATTAATTGTTAATGTTGAAATTCCTAATCCATATTTAAAAATCAGTGGAGTTGTTTGCTTTTTTTTTTTACCCTATCCACAGTCTTTTTATCTCTCTCCCTCTTTCCCTAATTCTGTACTATTTTACAGGGGGTTTACATGTATTTATATATTATCAGAAGTCTATAAAAATAGGAGTATAGATTAAAAAAAGAAACCATTACCCAAAACAAATAGGCTAAAATGAAGACTAGAAAAAATAAGCTGCTGTCAGTATCAAGAGTTTTTAAAATTTAGATGAAAATTTATATCCAAATTCCCTCAAGATAAAACATGTAGAAAAACATAGTCACTTGTGCAATTTATATTTTCTGTAAAGGTCATGCATGCCTCTTCCCCGGCATTGAACTTAGGTCAGAAAGAAATAGTTCTCTTGGGATTTTCATTTATGGACACTGTGTGAGATAAACAAAGTCCTCAACAATGTTCCTACAATAAATTCAATTAAAGATTTACTATTATAGTCCCTTTATTGTCCCTACATTATATTTTGAGAATAATGCAGTTATTAGCTCAGCGAAATGAATTAAATATTTTCCCTGTGGTTAATGAAGAGACTTATATGAATTAGATTCTGTGTGTGGCCGTTGATCGTGTGTTTGTGTATATGTATGTGTGAATATGTGCGTGAGTATGTGTTGGGGAAAAACAAACAAACAAATCAGTTGCCGTGAAGTCTGTTCTGACTCTTGGTGATCCCATGCCTGTCAGAGCGGAACTGTGCACCGTAGGATTTTCAGTGGCTGACTTTTTGGAAGCAGATTACCAAGCCTTTCTTCCAAGATGCCTCTGGGTAGACTTAAACTGCTAGGCCTTTTAGTAAGAGAAATCAATTTATTAAACCATCTACCCCAATGTTTCAAAAACCAAGCTGATAAGACAGGAATAGCACAGGTAAGAAGACAATCATTGAAAGAGTTTTCAATGATAGGGCAGTGGTGGTTCTTTCTATGTGGGAGACCCAGGTTCGTTTCCCAGTCAATGAACCTTATATGCAGCTACCACCCATCTGTCGGTGGAGGCTTGTGTGTTGCTATGATCCTGAACAGGTTTCAGTGGAGCTTCTAGGCTAAGACAGACTAGGAAGAAATGTCTGGCTATCTACTTCCAAAAATCAACCAATGAAAACCCTATGGATCACAACCATCTTATCCACAACTGGTCATGGGGATAGGCCAGAACTGGGCAGTGTTTTGTTCCATTGTGCATGGGGTCTTCATGAGTTGGGGGCTGACTCTACAGCAGCTAACAACAACATGTGTTAGGAACAGTTGGAATGGGATGGGGGAGTCAGGGACTGTGAACAAGAAGTTGTTGCCCACCTACTACTACATTTGCCTGAAAAGGTAAATCACCTGAGAATCTGGAAATGTGGATTTCGGCCCTGATTCAATTCTCAAAGACTGAAAACCTGGAAGAAGTACAACCATATCCTTTTACAGGCTTCAGAATCTCCTTTGGTACCATGTTGAATATGCTATCAAGCTCCTCAGTATTTACAGAAGAGATGGATAAATGTGAAACAGTGAAACATGCTGAAAGTGCCAGATGTTCTCATAGTTATTTTAAGATTGTTTTGAGATCGATCCCTGGGTTTCATGTGATAGATTGGCAAAAATCTTGGAAATAACATTCTCCCCAGTTTTAAAATCAGGATAGCATATTCCTTGGAAGGTACCAAAAAGAATAAAATTAACAAGAAATAACTTTTAAGAAATAAAAAATATCTTCTAGACATCCTTGCAGGGAATTGAAATTCATCAGTTTCTTTAAACCTTCAAACAAATAAGATTCGGTAGGTGCTCACAGCACTATTTTATAGAGGAGGCTGGCCAAGAAGTTAAGGGACTTGTCCAAGATCACTCAGCTTGGCCGTAGCAAAGCTGGCATTTGAATCCTCTTATTCTGTCTTTGCAAACACGCTCATAAATCAGTGTGTTGTCTCCTTTCATAATATGCCTTCAGCTTTAGAGGAGTATCACTTGAACCAGAAACCAAGGCCAGTTTTCATGTCAAAAAAAAAAAAAAAGGAAGTGACCCATGGCTTCTCTGAATTTGAAGGCATGCTCTAAAAGTTACGATTACTGACTAATAAGCTAACGTTTAGAAATACTCTGTGAGTTGGAATTGATGACACATAACAACTACCTTCAAGCGTGTGTATGCAAGATCGTTTTAAAGTTATACTGTATTTCCTAAGACACTTTTTATAGTTGTTGCATATGTTTGTAATTCATAAACGTCAATTATTGAGGGCCTACAGAAGTTTCAGCAGTGTTGGTCTCAAGGATCTGATAGTCCCTCAAATGGGACAATATAATAAATCCATTAATAGAATCATGTAGAATGCAAGTATATTTGTTTTATTAGCTTGGTACTTCACAGTGAAAGGAAAGCCAATGCACAAAACAAAACTCCCTACAGTAGTGGGAAAGAGTAACTGGCTAATTCGGTGTTTTATATGTATTGATTTGTTCACCATCATACATCTCCTATATTCCAAACCATAGAGATATAGATATAGCAATAAGACTTAACATAGAATAAGACATGGGCAAAGTAGGTAGTTAATCATCATAGGAACAAGACTATCCAAATCAATTATTTAAATATACCTGTTAAAGAGATGGAAGGAGACCCTGGTTCCACCTAAGGTTTGCATGAGTTTGAGAGTGTCATTGGTGTCAAACAGGATGGATGAGCCAATTTCCAGGGACTTTGTTGTCCCCACTGTGAAGGCATATCAGCTCAATGTCCCTCCTATCTCTGGATGAGTCACAGCATTGGTACATGTAGCATTTGTTGGAACTAAAGACCGAAATAACATTGATTTTTTGGAATTGTGAAAATGTATTGCCCCTTAACAAAGTTGGTAGTACAATACCTTTAAGAGCTGCTGATCCATCTCCCAACCTGTTTGAAACTGTATCCATTTTTCTTCCACTCTAGGTTTCTGGATTTTAGTCCTATCTGTCCCATTACTTGTGGCTGATGTCAGGTCTACATGAGATTCTCCACCTTGTGAACCTCAAGGACCCCCAGGACCTCCAGGGGCCAGAGGTCCTCAAGGGCCATCTGGTCTTGCAGGTGAAAAAATCCTTTTTTGCCCTCTCTCTCTAGTAGGCTTTCATAATTCCTCATTGATCGAAATGTTCATAGATTCAGTGAAATCTTCCAGGTGACCTGATGACAATATTGATGACAGAGTCAAATGAAAATGACCGTGAGCTCTTTTTCTCAACTTCGAATAGTCATCAGGTTCACCCCCTGTGATAGCTTCTGACTCCCAAGAAATCTGAACACTAAAAACAGCTCGTTAGACATATTTGATGTACAGTCCAAGTTGAGACTTGTAACTACAGCTTTGGTTGCTTTACATGCATGCAGTGTAAAACACTCATGTTACTAACACACCTTGTAGGTGGGAAGGTTGCTGTACCTAGTAATGCTTCAGGCATATGGGTCAACAGATACACTGGCCTCCTATTCTCTTTCTATCCTACTGAGAGGTATGTTGGGCTAGGTGCAGATGAAGATCCCATCAGCTCAGAACACCTGTGCTGAACCTCTAAGGCAATGGTTCTCAAACCTGGCTACGCATCAAAATCACCCATGGACATATTAAACATGCAGGCTCCTAGTGTCCATCCAGAGATCCTGGTTCTAAAACGCCACAGTGTGGTTTGGCCCTGAGTAACTGGGAAGTAAGGGGAAGGGAGGGCAGCTTCACAACTGATTCCAGAAGCAGGCAGGGTTGGGCCCCACTGCTTAAAGTTCCCATTGAGTTCTGGCATAATATGACCCCTGGATTTCTCTGGATAACTCCCTCCCAATAGCGATCCTTAATTCTCAGCTTTATAAGAGAGAAAAGATGTGGCCATGCACATGTATTTATTAATTTAATTATTCATTATTCATTCACCAAACATGTACTGAATGCTAATTTCATCATTGACACTGAGCATGACATTTAGAAACAAAATTGAGTTAAACTTTGGCCCCCAGTCTAGACGAGGAGACAGTCATTTAAGGGAAGAATTATGGTTATTTGTGGTAATTGTTTCTGGTTATGGTAAAAGTAAATTAACAGATGTGGTATTCCATGGCAAAGAGATAGAACTTTTCCAAGTCTGGAGTAGACAAAAGAGACTTCTTAGAAGCAGTGACACTTAAACTGAGCTATGGAGATTGAGGTGAAGGTAATTGGAAGGGGCAGAAGGGCAGGGAGGAAGGAGAAATCCAGGTACCGTGAAAAGCAAAAACTTAAAATGGTATCATTCTACCTTTTGTTTATCTTGGAACCTAGGACCCCAAGGTGCACCAGAACCAGTAGGAAAACCTGGGTTACCTGGAGATGTTGAAAAGTGCCCATCTCTACCACAATCTGCCTTTTCTGTAAAGCTGAGTGGGCCCCTTCCTGAGCCCTCCAAGCCCATTGTCTTCCAGGAGGCTCTGTACAACCATCAGGGCCACTTTGACCTGGCCACTGGACTGTTCACCTGCACTGTCCCTGGTGTATACAACTTTGGCTTTGACATTGGACTGTTTGAGAATGCTGTCAAGGTGGGGCTCATAAAGAATGGCATCCAGGTGAGGAACAAACAAGCAGAGGCCAAGGACAGCTATGAGCAAGTCTCAGGAAGTTCTATCTTGCAGCTAGAAAAAGGGGACAGGGTCTGGCTGGAATCTAAGCTGGACAAAACAGAATCTGAAAAAGGAACTACTCAAACTGTGTTCTATGGGTTTTTGCTCAGTGGAAATTCAGCCTGGGTATAGCAGCATGCTTTTCTTCCTCAAGGAGCTCAGAATTTAAGGGGAAAAATAAAGCTGTCTACTCCTCTCATCTCAAATATTTCCACTAGTACCACTAAATGATAAATTGTTCCCAAAATTGAGAATGGCCTAGTTGAGCAAAAGGAATGTGACACTGATCACTAAAATCAATAAAGACTAATGGCTCATCAATTTGTCAACAATCTCTCATTTATAATTCGATAAATTCAAGTATTTTTTCCAGATCTTGGGTTGCAAAATTGTATAGGAAAAAAAATCAAATCTGGGTAGGAAGCTGCCCAACCAGTCTTATGTTGAGTGCTCAGGAAAACCCCATTTACTTCCTTTATTAAGGTTTTTTTTTTTTCCTCCAAGAGACAAAAACTTTGCTCAAACTCACTTTGGAAATTAAGGACATGAATATGGAAATAAATATCTCTGGGAGAAGTAACAAATTTGCTTAAAGTCAGACCAAATGAGAATGCCTGCATCAGCTGATTTCCCCAAAGCATAATTCGATGGGTGGTGGTAGCAAGGCCCAAACCAACCAAACCGAAGTCCTTGCTGTCCAGTCAATTCTGACCTATAGAGACCCTATAGAACAGAGTAGAACTGCCCCATAGAGTTTCCAAGGGTGTAAATCTTTACAGAAGCAGACTGCCACGTCTTTCTTCCACAGATTGGCTGGTGGGTTCCAATCTCTGACCTTCTGGCCAAGGGCTTAACCCCTTCACCACCAGGGCTGCTTTACTGAGGGCCAAACCAAAAACCCAAACCCATTGTCGTGGAGTGGATTCCGACTCATAGTGACCCTATAGGACAGACTAGAACTGCCCCATAGGGTTTGTTTCCAAGGAGCAGCTGGTGGATTCAAACTGCCAACCTTTTGGTTAACAGCAGAGCTCTTAACCACTTTGCCACCAGTGCTCCTTATTGAGAACCAGAGGGCTTGAAATAGAGGTGAGGTAATTTCTGTAGCTCAATAATCACCACCACCTCCTACCCTGACCCTGCCTTCCAGTCAAGCAGCCCTCCTATTTTCTTTCTGCAATGGAAGTTGGCAGACAGATTGCCTGGTGTATCTTCTACTAAAGAGGATTACACAAAATGTGCTTCCCTTGCCACTTAGATCTGGAGAATCTGTGCCCATTGGCAACAGATCACTCAGCTTAGATTGTAGTGCAAAAGGAGGGGGAGGGGGAGGGGGTGGAGAACATGACAATAGTAAGCATGAAAACTGCCCGAGTTCACTTCTGTCATCCTGGTGGGGGCCCTAAAGCCGGCCATGGTGCAGTGGTCGTGCAGCCGTGAGGCCTGGTTCCTCCTGGGGAGCTGTCTGTGTTCCACATGGCTTCTTGTCCCCCGCCCTCGCCCCTCCCCTCCATGCGAGGTCTGTGCATGCCAGACACCATCTGCTAAGGCCCCAGGGAGCTGGGCCTCATGTATTCACACCTGCAGAGGCTGGGCCTGGGCCCCGCCACCTCCAGGCCTTCTAGCCTGCCCTGGGCCTGCACTACCTTAGGCCCACAGGCACCAGGGGCAGTGGAAGGAGGACTGAGAGAGCAGCCAACAGGGCGGGATCCTGGGGGACAAGGCAGGGGCCATAGGAGACACAGGACAAGGCTCTCAGCCTCGGAAAATTAAATATTGACCCCTCTTTCAGTGGCTCAGTCCCTGGGGGCTGTGAGCGCCACTCTCCTTAAAAAAAAAAAAAAAAAAAAAAAGGGGAGAAAAGATTGAAGTTGTCAAGGATTTCATTTTACTTGGATCCACAATCAACACCCATGGAAGCAGCAGTTAAGAAATTAAATGACTCATTGCATTGGGAAAATCTGTTGCAAAAGACCTTTTTAAAGTGTTAAAAAGAAAAGATGTCACCTTGAAGACTAAGGGGTGCCTCACCCAAGCCATGGTGTTTTCAATCACCTCATATGCTTGTGAAAGCTGGACAAGAAATAAGCAAGACCAAAGAAGAATTGATGCCTTTGAACTATGGTGTTGGCAAAGAATACTGAATATACTATGGATAGCCAAAAGAATGAACAAATCTATCTTGAAAGAAGTATAACCAGAATGCTCCTTAGAAGCAAGGATAGTGAGACTACGTCTCACATACTTTGGACATGCTATCAGGAGGGATCAGTCCCTGGAGAAGTACATCACGCTTGGTGAAGCAGAGGGTCAGCGAAAAAGAGGAAGACCCTCAACAAGATGGATTGACACAGTGGCTGCATCAATGGGCTCAAGTATAACAACTATTGTGAGGATGGTGCAGGACCTGGCAGTGTTTTGTTCTGTTGTACGTAGGGTTGCTATGAGTCAGAACCGAGTCGAAGGCATCTAACAACAACAATTAGCAGCTGATTTTCAACAAGGGCTCAAAGCCCATTCAATGGTGAATAAACAATCTCTTTAATAAATGGTGTTGCAAATTGGATATACATCAGCTGAAACAGGATCCATACCTAACACCATATACAAAAACTCACTCAAACTGGATCAAAGACCTAAATGTTAAAACTAAAACTATAAAGTTCCTGGAAGATAAGATAGGGATAAAACTATGAGACCTAATTATTTTCAATTATAGATTACCAAACACCACTACAAAAGCATGAGCAATAAAAGATAGATAACTAAGACCTACTAAAAATTAAATACTTAACACTCATCAAAAAATTTTATCAAAAGAGTAAAAAGAGAACCTACAGACTGGAGATGATATATCTGATAAGGGTCTGAGCTCTACAATATATAGAAAACTTCAACAACTTAACAAAAAGACAAACAATCCAGCTAAAAAAATGGGCAAAGGATATGAACAAACACTTCACCAAATAGGACATTCAAGTGGCCAACAAACACATGAAAAGATGCTCACCATCAGAGAGATGCAAACCAAAACTACAGTGACGTACCATCTCACCCCTGCAAAAATGGCACTGATCAAAAAACAGAAAACAACACATGCTGGCAATGTTGTGGGGAGATTGGAACTCTTATACACTGCTGGTGGGACTGTAAAATGGTACAACTACTGAAAATCAGTATGGCATTTCCTCAAAAAACTAGAAATAGAAATACCTTATGACCTAGCAGTCCTACTCCTAGGTATATACCCTAGAGAGCTAGTAACAGTGACATGAGTAGACATATACACACTTATGTTCCTTGCAGCATTATTCACAATAGCAAAAAGAAGGAAACAACCTAAGCGCCCATCAGTGGATGAATATATAAACAAAATGTGGTATATACATACAATGAAATACTACACAGCTATAAGGAATAATAATGAGTCTGCAAAAGATCTTAGAACATGAATTAATCTGGAGGACATTATTCTGAGTGAAATGAGTCAAGTACAAAAGGACAAATATTGTATGATCTCACTTTTACAAAAAGACAAAAATAGGTATACATATAGCAATCAATGTTCTTTAGTGGTCACCAGGGATGGGAGGGGGAAGAAGGGAGGATCACTCTCTAGACAGTAGATACTTGTTAGTTTTGGTGATGGGAGAGGTAACACCAAATGTCGGTGAAGTGAGCACAACTAACCAAGGTAAAGGATGACACTAAGAAATACACAAAAATAAGGGATATTATTGGTAAAGTCTATAACAGATACATTTTGGCAACAACAGCAGTAACAACCAAAAAATGCGTGAGTGGTTACATAGACAGACATGTATGCATATAGGTGTATAGAAAGGCATATGTGTGTATTTACCTGAGCATATATAGGTATATCTGTGGGCATATCTATATACATGTTTGTGAGTGCTGCACATATATTCATACATACAGTAAAGGACATAGGGGGCGTAGTCTCAGATACCTCCCAGATATAACCAAACACCTTGAAGTATTGTTTTACTGGGTTTGAAGGCTTAGCACTGTAGTCTCATGGGACATCTAGGTCAATTGGCACAACATAGTCTAAAAAGTTTATGTTCTACATCCTAGTTTGGTAAGTATTGTCTGGGGTCTTAAAAGCTTGTGAGTGGCCATCTTGTAACTATTGGTCTTTACTCATCTGGAGCAAAAGAGACAGAAGGAAGCCAAAGACTCAAAGAAGAATCCAGTCCACAGGACCAATTGCCTACATGACAATGGCCTCATCTATCCAGAGATCAGAAGAACTAGATGGTGCCTGGCTACAACTACTGACCTTTCTGACTGAGGCCACGATAGATGGTTCCATATAGAATGGGAGAAAACTGTAGAACAAAACTCAAGATCTTAAAAAAAAGACCAGACTTACTGGACCAGCAGAGACCTGGGTAACCCCTGAGACTATTGCCCTGAGCTACTCTTTAAACTTGGAATTGAAACTACCCCCAGAGGTCACCTTTCAACTAAATAACAGATTGACTCATAAAACAAAAAATATCACCCATGAGTACTGTGCTCCTTTTATATTAAAAAGAAAAAAATCTATTTGAGACCAAACTGTCAACATTTACCCTAAAGCATAGATGAGAAGGTTGAGGCAGATGGCAAGAAAGCAAGAATAATGGAAAAGGAACAACCAGAACAGAAATAACTAGAATGTTGGTGCAATGTGGAAAATGTAACCAATGTCACTGAACAATACGTATAGAAATTGTTAAGCAAGAACCTAATTTGCTGTGTAAACTTTCACCAAAACTCAACAAAATATTTTTAATGGAAAACAATATAGCACTTCCTTAAAAAGCTAGGAATAGAAATACCTTACGATCCATTAATCCCACTCCTAGGAATATATCCTAGAAAAATAAGAGACATCACATGAATAGACATATGCACACCCATGTTCATTGCAGCATTATTCACAACAGCAAAAAGATGGAAACAACCTAAGTGCCCATCAACAGATGAGTGGATAAACAAATTACAGTACATACATACAATGGAATACTACACAATGATAAAGAATAATGATGAATCCGTGAAACATCTCACAAGATAATAAATCTGGAGGGCATTATGCTGAGTGAAATAAGTCAATCACAAAAGGACAAATACTGTATGAGACCACTACTATAAATACTCAGGAAAAGGTTTACACACAGAAACAAACAATCTTTGATAGTTACAAGGGAGGAGAGGGGTGGGGAGGGGAAATCATTAGCTAGATAGCAGATAAGTGATAACTTTGGTGAAGGGAAAGACAGTACTCATTATAAGGGAAGTCAGCACAACATGACCAAGGCAAAGTCATAGAAACTAAATAGACACATCCAAACACCCTAACGGACTGAGTTACTAGGCTGAAGGCTGGGGACCATGGTCTCGGGGGACATCTAGATCAATTGGCATAACATAGTTCATAAAGAAAATGTTCTACATTTGACTTTGGTGAGTAGTGTCTGGGGTCTTAAAAGCTTGCAAGCAGCCATCTAAGGTACATCTACTGGTCCAGAACAAAAGAGAATGAAGAAAACAAAGGTGCAAGGGAAATGTTAGTCAAAGAACTAATGGACCACAAGTACCACAGCCTCTAGCAGCTTGAGCCTGGAAGAACTAGATGGTGCCCAGCTACCACCACCAACGGCTCTGACAGGGATCGCAATAGAGGGTCCCAGACAGAGCAGGAGAAAAATATAGAACAAAATTCAAATTCACAAAAAAACACCAAACTTACTGCTCTGACAGAGACTGGAGGAACCCCGAGACTATGGCCCCCAGGCACCCTTTTAACTCAGAAATGAAGTCACTCCTGAAGTTCACCCTTCAGTCAAAGATTATACAGGTCTATAGAACAATAACACATGTGAGGAACATGCTACTTAGCTCAATCATGTAAATGAGAACATATGGGCAACACCTGTACAAAAGCGAAGATGAGAAGGCAGGAAGGGACAGGAAATCTGGACTAATGGACACAGGGTACTGATGGTATAAAGGGAAAGGAGAGTGCTGACACATTGCAGGGATTGCAACCAATGTCACAAAACAATTTATGTATAAATTGTGAATGAGAAACTAATTTGCTCTGTAAACTTTCACCTAAGGCACAATTTAAAAAAAAAAAAAAAGAATTTCAATTAAAAAAAATTTTTTTTTAAAAAAAGGGGAAGAGAGATGCCACATGTAAATCTCCAAGGAACTAAGAATGCTGAAAAAGCTGAGTCAAGGATTGTTCCCCAGAGCAGATGAATAGAGTGTCTTCCCCTAGAACTGGTGCTCTGAATTCGGACTGCTAGTCTCCTAAACCGTAAGAAAATAAATTTCCATTCATTAATTGTGGTATTTCTGTTACAGCAGTACTAGGAAACTAAGACACCTTGTTTCTTTCTAGTTTTAGTGATTATGAATAAAGCTTCTATAAATATTTATGTACAGGTTGTGTGTGAACATAAGTTTTCATTTTTCTAGGGTAAATACCAAGGAGTGTGATTGCTGAATCATATGTTAAGCATATATTTAATTTTATAAGAAACTGCCAATTGTTTTCCATAGTACCTATACCATTTTGCACTCCCACCTGCAACAGATGAGAGATCCAGTTTCTCTGCATCCTCACCAGCATTTGGTACTGTCAGTATTTTTTATTTTAGCCATTCTAATAGGTAGATAGTGGTATCTCAGGGTAGTTTTAATTTGCATTAAATTAATTAAATTAAATTTAATTTAATTTAATTAATGCATTAATGACTAGTGATTTGAACATCTTTCCATGTATTTATTTGCCATCTGTATATGTTCTTAGATGAAGTGTGTGTTCAGGTCTTTTGCCTGTTTTTAATTGGATTGTTGAGTTTAGAAAGTTCTTTATATATTCTAGATACAAGTCCTGTGTTGGATATGTGAATTGAAAATATTTCCTTCTAGTCAGTGGCTTGTCTTTCTATCCTCTTAACAGGGTCTTTCACAGAAGAGAAGTTTTTAACTTTTATGAAGTCAACTTTATCCATTTTTTTTTATAGGTTATGCCTATGGTGCCATAGCTAACAACTCATCACCTAACCGTAGGTCACAAGGATTTCCTCCTGTGTTCTCTTCTAAAAGTTGTATGGTTTTACATGTTACATTTAGATCTGTCATCTATTTTGATTAATTTTTCTATAAGATGTGAGGCTTATTTGGAGATTTATTTATTTTTTTGCATATGGATGTTCAATTGTTCCAACACCATTTACTGAAAAGACTGTTCTTCTACGAATTGCCTTTCCATATTTGTCACACACACACACACAAAAACCATTTGGGCATATTTGTATATACTAGTAAAGAATAATAAGACTGAAACTAAATAATAACAATGTTATTTATAATATGATTTAATTTTGTTTGTTGACTTTGAAGCCCATGACCTTGCTCAACTTATTTCTTATTTCAAAAAAAAAATTTTTTTAGATTCCTTGGAATTTTCTCTCTAGACAATCATGTCATGTGTGAATAGGGACAGTCTTATTTCTTTTGCACTGGTTAGGACTTCAAGTACAAAGTTGAATGGGAGTAGTGAGAGTAGACCTCCTTGCCTTGCTGCCAGTCCCCGTCCTGCCATCCGTCAGTGTCACCTAGTTCTTGGCTGATTCACTCTGTGACTGACCTGCTCCTCTGCCTGTCCACTCCTAGACCAGGCATTTTCCCCAAGATATAGAAACTACCGCAGCTCTCCACTCTCCTCTGAAGGGCTTATTTCTCCCTTGAATTCAGTTCAACAAGAATTCCTTGCACCCATCACTCTTTGGTAGTCCTGTAGAGATTTATAATTTTATTTCTGATATTTATTTTCTAATGCTAAGCATGGGGGTAAAGATATTCATCATTCTTTTACATCCTAACACTAAACAGAAGCCCAATGTAGACTTCTGCATGAGTCTGGTTATACTGTCTGTTTATTCAGGTGGATCACTCATCGTTCTTTTTCTTACTTGTCAGTGTGTTTATCTTTGATCGTCTACTATTTGCTGTCACTGAAAAAAATTTATGGAGATTACTTGTAATTATTATTTGAGTCTGTTCCTATAGAGAGACTTCTAATTTATTTCTTCCAGACACCAGTGTGGAACCATGTTAGTTTAAGTTCATAGTTTGAGAGTTCCTGGTTTACCAAGGCAATGCATAGCCAGAAAGCAATTCAGCGTGTGTACCAGTATCTGCAGAAGACATCGGTGGTTCGGTGGTAGAATTCTCGCCTTCCATGTGGGAGACCTGGCTTTGATTCCTGGGCAATGCACCTCATGTTCAGTCACCACTCATCTATCAGTGAAGGCTTGTGTGTTACTATGTTGCTGAGCAGGTTACAACGGAACTTCCAGACTAAGACAGATTAGGGAAGAAAGGCCTGGTGATCTGCTTCTGAAAATCAGCCATTGAAGACCCTGTGGATCACAGCAGTCTGATCCGCAACTGAACATGGGGATGGTGCAAGACCAGGCAGCATTTTTTTTTTTTTATTGTACTTTAGGTGAAAGTTTACAGAGCAAATTAGTTTCTCATCAGACAATTAATACACATATTGTTTCATGATATTGGTTGCCAACCCTGTGACGTGTCAACTCCCTCTGCTTCTCAACCTTGGGTTCCTCATTTCCATTCATCCAACTTTCCTGTCCCCTCCTGCCTTCTCAGGACCAGGCAGCATTTTGTTCCACTGTGCATGGGGTTGCCATGAGTAGGGGCTGACTTGACAGCAGCTAACAACAGCAACTAGTATCTGTAATATTTCTGGAATTTTTAAAATATTCTTTTCTTCTGATCCATTTATAAGCCAAGGTAATAATCCCTGCCATTTTTCTCCTTAAAACAACAGAAATTTACTCTCTCACAGTTCTGGAGTCTAGAAGTCTAAATTCAGGCTGTTGGTAGAACCATGATCTCTGCGAAGACTCTAGGGGAAGGGCCTTCTCTGTCTCTCCAGCTTCTGGTAGCCCTAGGTAGCTCCAATCGAAGCGGAAAAGATTTAGTTCTTATCTCTTCTAATGCTAAGAATACAGCCATTTGGGGCAGAAAGAGTTTCCAGTCAGTAATACAGGTCTGGTGACAATCAAAAAGAATGGCCTTGATTGGTAGCTATAAGAAGAGTGATTTTTTTTAGTGAAATAATTTCTTGATTTTTAGAATAAAATCTTAAGGCCAAGCTCCACTGTGGCCAAATCTACATGTTCCCTCATGTAAACACAGAATCTATTTCCCAAAATTCCAAAATGTTGAGGGAAATAAAGCCCAAGGTGTCAAGATAGTGTTATTTATATAGAGGCCACAATTACATCAGGAAACCTGAGGAATAGATGGTCACAGTGCCTTGGTCTGGTTGCTCAGATTCCACTTCTGCTTCTAGCCACACCTTCTCCCCTAAGCTCAGTTGCAGGGTCAATGTGCCAGAGAGATTCCTGTACTCCTTTGCAGAGACCTGACGCTTTTCCAAGACTTGTATCTTGTTCCTTATCATCCAAATCTTCATCGTGCAGAGTTGGAGCTCTGCATCAAAGTGGAAATGGTAATTGCCTGGTACCCTGCAGGTGAAGACACCCGTATCCTCTTGTAAGTGCCCCTGGTCATTGTACAGCACCTCTGTGAAGGTGATGGGCTTAACAGGTGAACACAGCTTGCCACTGAGCTTCATGGTGAAGGCTGATATTGTGTTGCACGGACATTTCACAGTTAGTCCTGGAATTCCTGGCACTCCTGGTAAACCTGGAATCCCTTGGAAGAATGGAGAAGAGTCAGTAAGAAGATTGTAGCAGCCATTAAGAAGGTGATACTCTATTCACCTATGAAACCACCCACTTTGTTGTTAAGATATTGATCTTTGGTGTATGATTTAATTGGTTATAAGTCACATCTCTGAAATGACCAGGTGTGTGATCTTGCTAAAGCCAGTTAACCTTTCTAAGGCTCCATTTCCTATCAAAAAATGGAGGATAATAATAGTGACTTCTCATATTATTATTTGAAGTTTTAACGAGACAGTTCATATAAGTACTTAGTATAGTGTCTGTCAAACATTAAGCTTAGCATAGGATTATATAATTATGAATTATTATAATTTCTCTTGACCTCTAGCTTCTTGACAAGACTCTGTACTTCCTGGGATACTTTAGGGAAATGTAATAACAAAGGCAGAACAAGCTGGTTTCCTTATAGTAATGACACTGATGTTATATACTGTTTCGCCCTGATTTGGGTGGGACTAATTTTTGTTAGAGTCCCTAGATGGTGAAACAGTTAAGCACTGGACTATTAGCCAAAAGGTTGGTGGTTCAAATCCACCCAGAGGCACTTTGAAAGACAGGCCTGGTGATCTGCTTCTGAAAGATCACAGCCTTGAAAACCCTATGGAGCAGTTCTACTCTGCACACATGGGTCTCCATGAGTCAGAATTGACTCAATGGAAACTAACAACAACAACACCAAGTTTCGTTAATGACTCTGGTCTTCCTGGAGATAATAAATAAAAGGACCTGAGTATCTAATCCTGGGAACCAGAAAATCTTTGGATCACCAAATTCAATCGATATTGACTGATAATAATGACTCCACAAGATACCACACAGAACTGAATTGTGAGCTCTCCTGAAAGTCCCCTCTTGATCTAGTCTCATTTGGATGCAAGGAAGCCCTAGGTAACCAGGGCAGGATCTAGGAAGAACCTTGCTGCCACACTCAGGTGCTCACTTAATGTCATCTTTTCATAATGTCTGGTTTGGGTCCAGATTTCCAGGTCAAATTCAATACTTTTAATGGCACGCAGTGCCCTGCTAAGCTTATAATCCCCCTTGCCTTGCTGTTTACTAGACAGTCTACCTGGACTTGTGATACTGACTCTACTTAACACCTGCTCCCACCATGACTCACTCATTTGGATTGAAGGCCCCTGGTACTAAAACTAGGCCACTGTCCCTTGACTTCTCTGGAGCTGTGATTTTGGCTACTGGTCATTCTGCCTTGGGACTCGATCCTGTAACTGATCATTTTTTCCCAAATTCTTTCCATCCTTAATGCCTCATGCTGCTGAGCCTATGAGGTCTATGGTGTCTGCAAAAATGAGAGAAAGAAAGAGAGAGGGACAAATAAGAGGTAGAAGAAATCTATTTCTTACCTGGTAACCCAGGCATCCCTATCCCACCTGGTATTCCTGGAATTCCTGGAAATCCTGGCAGTCCAACATACCCTCCCTTCTCAAAGACAACAGTTGCTATTAGGATAATGTTGGCCAATGTCCAGACACCTAGATTAAGGAAACAAAGAGGAGATGTTTTTTGTTTTTTTTTTTCTGTTTTCTTTGTTTTTATGTGAAGGCTGGGTAGGTAGCATTTCAGCCTGGTCTGGGGAAGTTGTATAGGCTCCAGAATCAGGCACATTGGATTCGAATATCAGCCCTACCCTTATTCGCAAAACTTAGCAAGTTAAACTCTCTGCACTTTAGCTAGCAGTGTGTTAACTGCATTAGCACTTATGATACAGCGTTATTACTCATTTAAAAGTGTTTCTGCAAGCTGGACTGCCAATCTTAGTTTTCATCCATTTTTGGGTTGACAACATGTAGAAAGCATTTGATAATGTTGATTGCTAAATGATACATTATTAGAGTCTACTGTATATTTAGTATTCATTATGCAGAAGAAATTATACTAGAAGCACCATCTTATTAAATGCTCATTATACCCATGCAAGGTAAAGTTCTTATTCTAATTTACAGATTAGTAGTTTGAGATTCAAAGAGGTGAGCCTACTTATTCTCAACTAGACTGCTAATTAGAGCCTGAGATAGGATTTTTTTTCCTTTAATTTTTTTTATTGTACTTTAGATGAAGGTTTACAGAACAAATAGTTTCTCATTAAACAGTTAGTGCACATATGGTTTTATAACATTGGTTAACAACCCCATGACATGTCAACAGTCTGCCTTCTCGACTTTGGGTTCCCTATTACCAGATTTCCTGTCCCCTCCTGCCTTCTAGTCTTTGTCCCTGGGCTGTTGTGCCCCATTAGTCTCGTTTTGTTTTATGGGCCTGTCTAATCTTTGGCTAAAGGGGGAACCTCGGGAGTGACTTCATTACTGAGCTAAAAGGGTGTCCGGGAGCCATGCTCTCGGAGTGTCTCCAGTCTCGGTTAGGCCAGCAAATCTGATCTTTTTTTGTGAGTTAGAATTTTGTTCTACATTTTTCTCCAGCTCTGTCCGGGACTCTCTGTTGTGATCCCTGAGACAGGATTTTAATACCAGATTTTCTGAGTTAAATGTGAGCATTCTTAACCCAGATGTTTTTAATTAGTTAATTAATTGTTATCCAGTGTCCCTGCCTTCTTGTTTTTCCAAACTCTCTGCCCTTGGCTTTTCCTTTTTTGTTCCCAGCCAAGCCTTGTGATACAGCAACCCATAAGAAAAAGCCTTGAGCTGAACAGCATTTACTCTATGTTTTTTTTTTTTTTCCTCCCCCAGAGCAGTAGCCATTTTGGCACCAGGGTCTTCATACCCCAATCAACAGAGATGATACTTTCTATCCACCCTATTGGAACTGCTTGAACCCACCCACAACCTGCATCAGTCTCCTACCAGCCATCCTCAAGACAAAAGTCCTTATCCTTTCGTGGGTGGGTGAGTGGGCTTCTTTCAGATTTCTTCCCAAAATGCCTTAGCAATGAAGTCTAAGTCTTGGGCCCTTGTCACTGCTTCACCTTAGCAAGACCTTGCTAAATGGTATGAAATTGCCTCGTCAAATATTCACCCCTTGTTCAGTCTGAGACAACAACAGGTTAATATTTAACCACAAAGTGGATTTGGGGCACCCGTTATGGCTGGCGCTAGATCCCAGGTGAGTAGTATTACAGATCACAGATCCTAGGTCATTTTCATATTTCCCTTCCAGTAGGTATATTAAGGGAGGAGCTATTGATTCTTATCAATTGATTTGAAGGCAACAAACAACATTGGTATACATAAAAGTCCGAGTAAAGAAGCCATCTTATTTCTGTCTCTGACTTCTTCCTGAATCTTTATTCTTTGTGTCTAACCATAGATTTGGATCATCACAAACAATTTACTGGACAGGAAGCCAAATGCAAAGCAAAAGCCTAGAATTGAAGTCTCTTTCCAAAGGGAATAATGTGCAAGGGGAAACCAATATTAATTAAATGCCAATATGTGCCATATACTTAAATGGGCTAATGAATGTAAGACATGCAGTGCTCAATGAATATTAGCTATTATTTTAACATGCTTGTCATCTCTTTTAATCCCTACAATAATCTTATAAAGAAAATATCTGCACTGTGTATCTTTTATTATTCAAAGCAAATGATGCAACAGAATACTATATACTCTTCCCATTACCCTTATTTTGTTCCTTCTGCTGGGAATTCTTATGTCCCCGACTTTTGGTGAACTCATCCACCCTCTAAGGTCTAACTCAAATGTCTCCTTCAGTATATACAAATTTATAGGAAGCAGATGTTTTTACAAGGATATGAAATTGGAAGATAATTCTGGGTTGGGTGTAGGGGAGGCTCCACACTGAACATAATCAAGTAGGTGAATTACAAGTCAAAAGTAAATAATCTGTTTAAGGCCTTTCTGAATTCTGGTCTGATTCACTAAAGTTTACCTTCTAGTATACTCCTGCAGAACCTCTAGTAAAATATATTTACTAAAGTTCCCAAAATTCTTTTGTTCTTTTACTATCCCAAATTCCTCCAAAATACTGGGAAAACTATAAGGTTTAGAGGGAAAATGCAACTGGATTCAAATTCTCATTCTATTATTTACTGCTATGTGACCCTGAGCAAATTATCTTTGTACTCTCAAGCCCAGTTTCCCCATCTATAAAATTTGAGAAAACTACATATGCCTCACAGAATTGAGTGATGTGGATTAATGTATCTGGGTAAAGTTTAGCACAGTTCCTAGCACACAGCAGATATTCAGTAAATGATAGCTTCTTTTTTCCTTCCTTTTCCCAACTAATAAAGACTAAAGCAGGCTGTTCAAATTCATAAATCCAATCCAGCTTTCAAAACACCACTCCTTCAGTGCTCACTGGATCAAGGCACTTCACTGGGATCTTTTCCTTTTTAAATCTCTTCAGGGTTCCTGCTATATAGTATGCTCCTTCCCCCTGAAAAATTAGATTTAAAAGAGGTATCCTAATAGACATATATAATGAAGCAGATTAAAAATGGATTCCAAGAGGCAATTAAAGTGTGTTTTGTTAACTACGTCCCAAATTAATAAAATTAAAAAAAAAATGAATAGTCTCTAAGTCCTTTCCTATAAACCACCATTGTACAGACTAGAAGGCCAAATGGCATATCAATGGTTATCAAAAGAAGAGTAAAATTGGCTGACCCACCATTGGGCTGTAAATGCCAGTCAGCAACCCAGAACCTGTAGGTGAATGGTCTCTCTGGCCACACTTCCAGAATACTTTTGCAGGCAGGGATGTTGAACAGTTGTCATCTCTGGTGTAAGACGCCACTGAGATAAAAAATAATAATAATAATAATAATCTACCCTGTATCAAGAACTTACATAATTGATGATAGTCTGAAATTTCTTAAATTAAATAAGGGTTAAGTTAAACATATATATAATGGAATGAGAAAATATTTCATCATCTTCACATGTGGACCTTAAAATTATGCTTGGTAAGAGAACTTCTTGTTGAATGGAAGCCCCTGCTAAGAATTTGTATCTTGACGTGGGTTGCAGCTAGATCCTAGGCCACAGAGAAGAGAACTAAATTAGCCATGCACAAATCAGACATGACTTTTTGGGTATAATGTTACATTTCCTTGTTTTATTTAGTCAACTAAATTTCACCTCTGTGCCCCAAAACTTCTAGAAAGGTAAATAATTCAATCTTGGAAATCCATAACCCAAAGTTGTGGAAGTGTTCTGAAGTTTTATATACACCGAGGCATTTAGGGAAACCCTTCTGACCATTAGCCAGGTTACTGCCAGTGCAACCATCATTTTTCCAAGGCACGTGGTTCCCTCAAGGCTCCTGTTCTGCTGTTTCAAGATGTCTTTGGAGTGAGATATCATGGCGTGAGCCTAAGTACAAAGTCGTCTTCCCTCTTGACATTCATGCCTGCAGGACCCAAACACTCTACTCTTCACTTTTTCCCAGAATTACTATCACCTTGCTCAGCTGCTAACCAAAAGGTTGGACATTTGAGTCCACCTAGAGGCACCTCAGAAGAAAGACCTGGTAATCTACTTCTGAAAAATCAGCCATTGAAAAAGCTATGGAGCATAGCTCTACTCTGACACACATAGGGTCACCATGAGTCAGAATCAACTCAATGGCAACAGTCCCTCCCTGATTGTCCACATGTCTCCCAAAGGTGCACCTCTCTCCTATCCTTCCCAGACACATAGCACAATCTTGTTACTTGTCCAAATTTGGGGAAAGACTTGCAGGCAACACGTTTCCACCTGCAGCAAACTTCCTTTGGGAAAAGGAATAACAAGTTGATGACACTGGAAATTTGACTATTTTGTGGAATAGTAAGACCCCCACTGCTGTCATGATTAATTCCAAGAAATTCTGATGAAGAAAATGATACAATACTAGTTTAAATAAATTAGATTCTAGGGATGGACACTGGCAAGTACTTACACTAAAAGAGTCTCACACATCACTCCACTGATGAACTCTCAAGTCTTTCCAATGAGTCCATGAACAACTGCAATAATTTTCCCTATGATCCAGTCAACTTTCTTCGAAGTCAAATGCGTAATCTGACCTCTGTCAGCTTCTAGCCCATCAACATGTCCCCCAAAAGAAAAAAAGCCTGCCAGTGCCATAATATCTGATGATTCTCCCCTTTCCTCTTTAGTAAATCTAATTTTTACTGTTATTTGATGACCAAGGTCTAATGACTCTTCTCCCTTGTATGTGAGTAAACTGTTGTTGCTGTTAGTTGCTGTCAAGTTGACGATCCCACGTACAACAGAACAAAATGTTGCCCAGTCCCATGCCATCTTCACAATCACTAGTATGCTCAAGTCCATTTTTGTGGCCACTGTGTATTTTGACTGCCTTTCAAACTAAGGGACTTACCTTCCAGCACTATATCAGACAATATTCCGTTATGCTCCATAGGGCTTTCATTGGCTCATTTTCAGAAATAAATTGTCAAGCCTTTCTTCCTAGTCTGTCTTCATCTGGAAGCTCTGCTGAAACTTGTCCACCATAGGTGATCCTGCTGGTACTTGAAATACCAGTGGCAGAGCTTCTAGCCTCGTAGCAACACATGACAAACTGACAGATGGATGTGCTGTATCTCCAACACTATATTTCTGGGAGTTCCAATGAGAAATGCACGCTCAAGTCCTACGATTGGTGTCAGCAAAAACGTGCAGCTAGAATGTGAAACTCATTAAGATGCAGAAGCCTCAGGTTCCAACTCACCTTCACTTAGCCTCTGTGATGGATCTGGTGAGTGGTGACTAAGCTCTTTGGTTCTTCAATGCAAAATCTAATCCTTAACGATAGTGTTTCTGAATTGCCTACAGCTGATTGTTTTTCTCCTTTTTGGTAGCGGCCATGTTGTTGGGTGCCATCAAGTTGATTCTAACTCACAGCAATTACATGTGACAGAGTAGAACTGCCCCACAAGGTTTTCTTGTCTGTAATCTTATGAAAACAGATCACCAGATCTTCCTCCTATGGAGCTGCTGGGTGGGATCGAACTGCCAATCTTCCGGTTAGTTGCTGAGCGCTTAAACATTGCACCACCAGGGCTCCTTGGTAGCAGCATAGGAATCCGTTTTATTTTATTTTACAGTCTTACCATCCAACAATGATATCTTTTGGAGAGCAGATGACAGGAATCTTGATGATGAGTAGAAACCAGAAAATCTAGTTATTAGTGTTTTTTGTTGGTTTCTGTTTCTTGAAGATTCTGGTATCTCTTGGCATTTGAGGCCTAAGGATTGAGAAGACATTCATTTCTTGACTTTCCAGTCAGAAGGACAATCCTCTGTGTTTGTTTATTCTGTCTTTAACAACGGGCTCAGAGCCCATTTTTTTCTTTCCTAAAAATGAAATTTTATACCAAGGATGATATACAATGGTCTTAGAAGACAAAAGAAGCTAAATATTTAGAATGTGATGTTTGGTTTGTTTATTATTATGCTAAACTCTCTAAACCACGGTTGGAAACTTATGGACAATGAGCCAGCTCTGGTCCAGCATACATTTTTTAGCCTGTGAGCTAAGAATGATTTTTACAGATAAACATTTGCAATCATTTTGATGATAGGGAACACTAACTTTGAAACCCAACTAAGCAATATGTTATCCCTCCAAAAAAGAACTTCACTCTCCTCATTCATGGACCTATATTACAAAAATTTGTACTAAATTATATATTTATGTATTTAATTTCATCAATAAAAACTGTGTAAATTTGTTTTCTTTCTTCTTATGTAAGTACCAACATAATATCCACAAATTTGCTTTTTGGCCCAAAACCCATTGCCATCAAGTCAATTCCAACTCATGGCAACCTTGTATGT